AAAAACTAAGCATGAGCCTCATTTAATTGTTATACTTAAATTGGCTTGGATTATCTATCCTTTTATAGAGGAAGGCAAGGCCTTCATTCTCATCCTTGAGCAATATGGGACTTTGAACAACACTAAATAATTAGTGCAACCATTGAGTGTTTTTCCAAGTCCCACATTTCTTAGGGAATGAGAATGAAGTCTTTCCTTCACCTATATAAGGCTTTGGTTAGGAGGACAATTGTCATACTTGAATTGACTCAATTGTTAACATTTATATGTTAAAATAAAATGTAAAGCTTTTATATTTAGTATAAAATAATATACTAAATATTTTTATATATTTAGTATATATATATATATATATTACGAGTTGAATCAAGCCTAGGTCGGGCTTAAAGTATTAGGCCCAAGCCTAGCTTTATTTTTTCAGGGCTTAATGTAGGTCCTAGCCCTAAAATTTGTGTTGGAAGTTTGATGAAGAGGTCAAAAAGCTCCTCAGTGCCAACCTCATCAAAGGAGTAAAGTACCTGAGTTGGATAACGAACGTGGTGCTTGTCAAAAATGCAAATGGGAAGTGGCATATGTGCATTGACTATACCGACCTGAATCGAGCTTGCCCAAAAGATAGCTTCTCATTCCCAAGAATAGACAAACTAGTAGATTCCACCTCGAGGTTCGAGCTACTAAGCTTCATTAATGCCTATTATAGTTAAAACCAAATCCAAATGTATCCACCAAACCAAGAGAAAACAACTTTTGTAATTGAAACTGGGTTGTACTATTACAAGGTCATACCTTTCGACCTAAAGAATGTTGGGGTGACCTATAGTGTCTTGTAAACAAATTTTTTTCAAAATTAATTGGAAATAAAGTAGAAGTTTACGTAGATGATATGGTTGCAAAAAGTAAAAGTTTTAATTCTCTTATCATTGATTTAACCTATGTATTTACCATTTTAAGAAAATATAACCTGAATCTCAACCCGAACAAGTGTGTCTTTAGCATCACATCAAGTAAATTCTTTGGTTACATAGTCACCCAATGTGGCATCAAATCCAACCCTAAGAAAATTAATGCAGTCCAAAGGCTAATAGACCAGATCACTGCCCTCTGTCGTTTCATGTCAAGGTCGGCAGGGCGATGCCTACCATTTTTCTAAGCCATAAAAAAGTATAAAAACTTCAAGTGGACCAAAGAGTGTCAACCCGCTTTCGATGAAGTCAAACAGTATCTCATCTCGACATTGTTATTGACAAGGCCGAAGCCTAGGAACAAACTCCAATTATACCTCTCTGTGAGCGATGAGGTAGTCATCTCAGTACTAGTCTGGAACATAGATAAAGTGTAGCAATTTGTTTATTATGTGAGCAAGGTCTTACATACAACCAAGACTAGACACCTGGATATAGAGAAGCTCGCCTTTACACTTATCATATCAGTTTGAAAGCTATGGCCTTACTTCCAAGCCCAGACTATCGTCGCCCTCACCGATATGCCCCTTCGGCAAGTGTTGCAGTCCAATGTCCGAATTGCCTTCCAGTATGGAGCGACTAGATCGCACATCATCAATTACATTGATCTGATCGGAGCCCCAACATGCATGCTGAATTGGGCCGGTTCAATCTTTATTGTAATTGGATTGAACATAGATCCATCCCTATCCAATCCAATGCAATTGGGTATGATCAAATTAATATTGATAAAATTGGTTTGAATGTTGGATTCATAGACGCAAGTTTCATACAAATTACTTTTAATTCATTTTATTAATAATATATACTATTTTGATCATTTCTAATTTAATTTATTAATGATATTTAATATCAACTGATCCAATTCTAACTTAATATAAATCATCTGATAAATTAGATTTGATTTGCACTCAGATATTAAGGCTAGAGTACAAATACAAATATGAACAATACAAACTAAAAGATTGTACACTCTACATAGTTGACTTTGTATTCTTTCCAACTGAGCCTAAGGCTCAGTTTAGATGGAGTACAAATACAAATATAAAATATAAGGTTTTACACTCTACATATTTGTATTTGTACTCCTTCCAAATGGAGGATAATGAATCAAATTTGAATCTAGTTCTATTCAATTCAGTTGGATCCATTTGCAGCCCTATGTAAAGAAAAGCATGTGAGTTTTAATAAAAGTTTGCCAGATGTAGTTATCTGATCTTCACCCAATTGGTAAATCAACATCAAATGGGTCCTACTTATTATTAGAAGATCTGGGCCTAAACTCAACACCTTGACCAATCTTATTATATTGTATTTAATTGGGTCGAGTTAAGAAATATTGAAAATTATCTGAATCATTGGAGAGGTAGCAAGTAATGGGGGGCAAGTCCAGGGTCCCTGGTCCTAACCCAAGACATTCTCTGATAAGAAAAGGGAAAAGTCAACTAAATGGAAATCCGATTTCCTCAACAAAAGAGAAGGGAATTTTGACTTTTTGGAACCTTTTTTTCTAATATAGAAAGTGGGTTTATACAGATTGGTAAATGGGTGTATGCAACTCTTGCATTCCTTGTGTGTTGGGTGAAATCCAAGAATTGTGCATACTAAGTGTTTAATTATTATCACAATTAAATCATCCCACTGGTATAATATCTATTCTAATATAGAAAGTGGGTTTAAAAGTTTGACTATTTGAAAAAAAAAAGAAAAGAAAAAACAGTCTGAGTTGTTTGGAAGCTTTAAATAACACATGTACCGTGGGTGAGGGATAAAAGAGTATTTGCAGCTAATATTGTTTTAGCCAAAAAGACAGGCAAGAAACTGATTTAGGTTACTTTTATGCACAAGAAACTCCCAAACAACTACCCCAGACTGTTTTTTCCAAACAACAAATTTTTCCCAGTCTTAGGGTAAGATTTATTCAATGGTGGACTCAAATCCTTTATAATATACGGGTCACATGGTGATTGAAGCAAGGCATCACATTGCAGTTACGAAGAGGGCACTTTCATTGAGCCTGGTTCTTTAATTATATAATAACTTTCTTCAGTTCCTTGTGTTTTACTTGAGCAAATAAATAATCTAGAGAAATTTTAGAGTTCAGTTCACTTAAGAAATTTTTATTACTTTTATAATTTTATTTATCCATACCTCCACCTATGATTCATTGCTGATTCATTCCCTCACTTATCACTGTTCCGGTTTTATAAAATGTACTAAAGTTTATGAGGTGGGCTGAACAATAAAAATGCTTTTTCTTTTATTTATTCATTTAAAACTTTTGAGCCATTGACTGATACGCAAAGAGACCATATTGTGAATTTGGTGAGAATTAATGCCTCCCATGCTGAAGTGTCTAACAATAAAGGTGGCGTTCGGTAGTATGTATATATCGTAGATAGAGTCGGTGTGGTCCCATCCACGATAAGATATGGTGTTTTGTTATGTGTGGACGGTCCTCCTCCACAAAATAGCATGGACAAAGACGGGCCACACCCCAATCTATCGCCCATAGTATTTTCTCATGGATGGTCCACACTATGGGTTTTAGTGTGGGAAGGTTTTAGTGTAGCGCACTTGCGTTATATTGGTCCAATTATTCTCATTTTATTTAATCTTTTAATAATTTTTAAATTTTAATATTTATCAATAAAATAATAACTTTTAATGTTAATTCTAGCACAAGTCCGACGATTCTCATTCTCAATTCTTTTTTTATTATTTAGATATTAATTTTTTTAATATTTTTATCAATCAAATAATATTTAAAATATTATTTTTTTTTATTTTTAATATTTTTTAATTATTTAAAAATGCAAATGTTATCTACATATTGATACATTTTTTTTCAATTTATTTACCATATAAAATGCAAAAATTAGACATTTATGATCGACTATATAGATCTCCCATAAAATGTATATAAGATACATGGAATCAAAAAATATGGTGTGGACTAGTCCATACCACACCTACAGAATGCCACCGTGGGGTGTGGACTAATCCAAGCCACACAATCTATCTACAGTTCAGAACAATTGTGGACTATGGTGTGGTGTGGATTAGTCCCTGCCACAAGGTATGATGTAGACCAGTCCACATCCACCAATTTCTCATCCACACTACAGAACACCCTCAAAGTTAGCCTTTGGATATTCACAACTCATAAGTAGGGAAATCATTGTCTCAGGTTAAGTTCTAAACCTACTTTGATTCGACCCAATTGAATTATGTTGGTATTTAGCCCCAATCCAGATGAACTAGAGACAAAATCATACACACCCGGCTGAACTACCTATCAGGCTATATCACAATTGAACACGCCAGTACTCACCGTGGGACCCATCTGGGACCTGGCTATACTGAACACTGGTGTGTTCAACTGTAATAGGTAATTCAGCTGGGTGTGTATGCTTTAATCTCCAGCTAATCCGCTCTCGAGATCCTCCGAGTTGTAGGGTTGGTTGGAAAGGTTTGAATATTACCAAGAAAGTCGATACACCGCACATGTAGGCCAGATTTATCGGGTCGCCTGTTTAAGCAAAGCTTCTTTGACCAATGTTGAACCCGGATCCATGAAGAGTGCGAGACACGGATTCTTTTTCATGGGACCCCTCATGTCCTGATACCAAGAAAATAAGAAAATTAACAAATGAAAAAACCCAAATAGTGGTGTGGTCCACCCAAACAGTGGCCCCACCAACCCGATCAAATCCTCCGTAGTTTCTTTAGCCTAACCTTCTAATCGGTCTTGTCTGATTAACTAACAGGTAGAGAGAGTTGAGCTCATTCCATGGCGTTAAAATCAACATGACCCGACCCGACCCGACCCACCCATTTAAGTATTTTTTGAATGAAGTTACACCGAAGCATTCATTACACAAACAACCGTACATGGAGCTAAAGAATGTGCTGGGAAAAATCCATTGACAAGAAAAGAGAGTGGCAAAAATATATCCATGGCATGCCACCGCATAGTTGACAAAGCAAAGTCAAATTTAATTATTGATCAGTTTACACAAAACACAAGATGTTGAGCTCCATTCGTCTACATAAGTAGTAGGGTTTTCTTCAGTTTGCACATCGCTCTGTGACCTCTCTCTCTCTCTCTAAGAGCAAGGTAGGTACCCTTTCATTAGTTTTCTTTCTTTCTTCCTCCATTAATTCGTTTCCAATTTTCTTTGCAAAAGTATGAGATTTTTCAACAATTATCTCTAAAATCTCATTTGTTTCTATTCATTTAAATGACAGATAAAAGGGCTGTTGCCTTCATCTGTGAAGAAAGAAGAGATTGAATAGATGGGATATGTTGTGGTTATTTCTCTCCCATTTTTCATTCTCTTAATTCTTCTGAGCTTTGGATGCTACATCCTGGGGAGGGACAAGGGGCGGAAAGAAGGGCGGATGTTGGCAGCCCAGGAGTTTGGTATTAATGTTGTACCGCCTGGAGTGGTAGCACCAGGCGTTAATCCTGTCCCTTCTCCCCCTGAATTTTCTTCTGTTCCTCCTCCCCAATTCCCTTCTTACAACAATCCTCATCCAACCCACATGAAGCAAGGAAATGAGACCAATATATGAACAAGTGATCACCTCCTCTTTGCTCAATTAAGGCAAATTTGGCTGCAGAAAGCTCTTCAGAGGTCATTCTATTTTATTTTTCATATTGATGATCATGCACATGTAAACACGATGATTTGATGAGTAATTAATTAGTTTAGTCAAGTTTGTTAATTTATTATTTATTGATCACTTAATTTTTCAACTTTTTTATACATAAAGCATAAACAGATCGATTGGGCTTCCTGTTGTTGTAGTTGTACCTTGTCAAAGTGGAGTTGTAATTGCTTATGAGGAAAGTAGAGATGATATCTTGATATATTTAATTCTATCTATGTACTAGTACTAGTGGTCCATTACCATTACTTGAATATAATCTTGTTGAAGAGATAAACTATATAATGATCAGACTCATTTTGTGGGTCATCCCCATATCTGATCGACATACTTTTTCCAGTATTGTCAGACTCGGACAGGACCGGATGGTTGAACCAGTGATCCAGCGAGCTTTCTTGGTCCTGGTTGTTTGATGATTTTCATGGGTTGAAGATCTAACAAGCCGATTAAACCAGAAAAATTGTGACCCTGTGAAAATTTTGGTTTTCTGTCTGATCTGAATATGACATGCATTGCTTTCTTTTTCAAATAGGAAGAAATGCTTGAGAAAACAAATTAGGATAAGCCTTTAATGGGGTATGCCGTTGTGGTTGTGGAAGAACAAGGGTCCATTTGGCGTGTTTTTTTATTCGGTCTTTCAGCTGTTTATTAGCTGGAAACTATTCTTGTTTGGCTCGCGAAAAATCTAGCCACCAAAAGATGGACAGCTGAAAAGACACAAAAATCCCATCTCATGTCTTTTGCATTTTAATCTCACACGAAAAGACGCACGTCTGTCAAACATGTTTTAGACTATTCAGATCTTCATGCAAAAGCTCAATACATCTTTTGCATGTCAAAACTACCAATAAATCTTCCAAAATAGATACCCCCAAACGGGTCTCAAATTATTGATCCAATTTAAAGGAATTTGAAGATGGGTTTATACTTTAGGTATATAAGCTTCTGCTTATGTGATTTCTTTCCATCATAATAGCAATGAAATGCCCTCTCAAGCTGCAACGTGTCTAATTAAGAAGATCAATACCCACCAGAGATTCATCATTTTAGTGGCCCCAATAGTTCAAAGCAACGGCACGATTCATCTATTGGACGCTTTTGTCAAACCTATATTAATGAAGGGATGAGAGATCCATCCTATGGACGCCCAAAGATTGCGGAATAAGGGGCGAATTTCAAAAATTTTATCTCTCCCTTCAACTGGACGGCTTGTGAGTACAGCTCCAATCAATCTTTTCCCAAAAGATTGAAATCAAGATCCAATCTTGATTGCTCCCAAGAACTGGAGATCGAA